GGCAGCCACAGCGGCGTGCCAGGCGGTCTGGCTGCGTCGGTTGCTGGGAGAGCTGACCGGCGAGGAAGCTCGTCCACCAGCTCTGATGGTGGACAACCAGCCCGCCATTGCACTTGCAAAAAATCCAGTCCTCCATGACCGGAGCAAGCACATCGATACCCGTTTTCACTTCATCCGTGATTGTATCGATGAAGGACATATTGTTTTGGAGTTTGTCGAATCCGGACGGCAACCCGCAGACATCCTTACCAAACCACTCGGCCGTCTTCGGTTCATGGAGCTAAGGAACAAGATTGGAATGGTGGGAAACAAGCAAGAACAGCAGGATTAGGGGAAGAATTGTAAGAAATATAATCTGATGTTTCCTTGTTGTTTCCTTGCAATTTCATTACACTTTCCTTGCAGCTGCAAAGCACTTTCATAGCAGCCATTTTAGGATGATTTTTAGGACTTTTCAACTTAAGTAATTTCTAGGAAAGTCACTAGATAGTTGTTTTTAGTTTTTATAAATAGGGGTGCAGTTTTTGTTTTGTAAACACACAGAAAAACTTAATACTAAATACATTGAGTTGTTCACAATCTTCTTCTTTCATCCTAAAAGTGTTCGTTTGTGCCGGAAGCATTTTTGCTTACCTGAGCTGTGAACGAGCAGGGACTAACACGTAGAACATTTACAATGAGGAAATAAAGAAGCTGCCAGATAAGGTAAACAACTAAAGGAACAACGAAAAGCCATGTCCACAGGTAGGATTTGCTTTCTACATACGCCCGTGATGCTCTACGAACTGTTCCCTCGGGATGCATGGCTTCGAAAAACACCGGGTCCCACCACCGGATTGTGAAGAACACCAATCCTGACAAAAAATAAAAAATAAAAAATGAACCAACAGAAACAGACATAATTTCTTTCTTACAATTAATTAAGGGTTGTCTTACCAGGCAGGAGATGAATAAAGACGCTTACGATTTTGTCCACAGAATTGAAAACCAAGCTGCACCGCCAAACAATCAGAGCCCGGCCAATGGCCCCTAAACGCGCATTGACTTGTCAAGAAACAGAAAATTCTACATAAAAGTGGCCGTGTCGTACGACAGAACAAAAGCAATATCAATTATGGTTTGCTTACCTCTGCAAACGAGAAGCAAACCATGAAAAGTTTCTCATTTCTAGGATAACACAGCAGCATGATCAAGAATATTGTGTTAGCATAATAGCAAAAGTCCTGCATGGGAGAACCTCATGTGTGAGCCATCAATTTCGTATCTGTCTATAATGGTTCAAGACTTCAAGTATCAAGTTGTCAAAACGAATACCCAAAAAACTAGGTAAACATATTAAAGGGATCCAGAAAAAGCATAAGAAATTTAGACGATGATATAAACTTTACGAAGGAATGCCATGAATACAGAACCTACATAACTTTTGAAACAGAAAATACATCAAATTGAATCTCGGAGCAGAAAATAGCTAAGATAACTTCTGTTACATTAGAGAACCGGTTAGACTTAGCTTCAAACAGGACACACACAGCCCAGACATTACCAACAACAATTATACCAAACAGCTAAAACTAAATGCAAATTAGACAACATGGAGCTTACCAGAAGATAATAGTGCCATTTCTTGTATCAGTAGTAAATCCACCGAAGTGGGACGAAAATCACATAGAACAAGCAATACAGATACCGAACATCCTGCGGCCCTGATCAATTTAAACCATAAAAAGATGAATTCAAGAAATGATTGCAATAACAAACTTCCTACTCACTTGCACCCAAAATAAAGTAGAAGCCTCCAAATCCAAGAACACCCAGCAAATTTGTCACCTGCATGTTCTCACCAATCCCAAATCAACTCATATAAAAATTACCACAGATAAAGCTAAGGGATTTCAATTACATTTTCATGTTCATATCGTATCAAGTACACATGATTAAGTAACCAACAACAGTCAAATAGAAAATTAGAGACCTTTAAACACTCGCTCAATCACACACACACACAAACACACATTCTGATGCCTATTACCTTGTTGATGAACCTTTCGTGCTCCTCGGCCTGCTTAGCGATCTTAACGGCTTGTTTGGACAAGATCTCTTTGGTCTGAACCGCTTGTTTAGACAGCATCTCCTTCGTTTGAGCCACTTTTCTAACCAAAAATCAAACCCACTCCGCATCACGAAACACCATCAAAATTGCAATCAAATGGGGAAAACAAAAAAAAAAACCCAGATCACAAAAACGTCTAAATCGACTGCCCAACAACTTATACACCACAACTATAGACACATACATAAGTGAGTTCAGCAAGAAAGGTCCTACCTTTGATGGATCTTTGAGCCTAAGCTTAAGTTTATTTCCGTGCGAATAGCCGTTAGAATCCTCCGCCTCCATGGTCTCTTCGTTGCCGGCCATCAAAATCTTGTTTTTTAGCTGGAATTTGAAAAGAAGGTGTGCTTTCTTTGAGCGTGGGTCTATATATATATATATATATATATGCATACAACCTGTTTGCGGGCGAGTATGAACGATCAACGCGTACTTTCTTCTTGGTTAGCAGAAGTGCGGAGAACATATAATTTTTCTCGTCTTCTTATGGGAAGATACTATTACGAGACCGAGACCATTCCGTCGGTGTTTGTAACCGTTAGATCATCGTATAATCATCGAGATAGTTTATGTAACGGTTACAAATCCTGACGAACCATAAAGATCTAACGGTTACAAATACCGACAGAATGGTTCCGTCACCGAATAGTAGCATACTAGCATCTACCTTTTTTATGATGAAGCCTTGACGATTGTCTTCATTAAGCTGCTAATTAATTGCGGTTTAAAAGGACAGTTGGTGATATTCTTACTAATTAAAATATTGAAAGTTTTTCAAACAATAATAAGATCTCAATTATCCGTAAATATGTTGACTATTTATGATTATTTTGAAAGTATTAATTGCATTTTAATATCAAATGAATTGTATATGTATTTTAAAACGTAACTAGTATATAACTTGTGCGATGCACGGACTATATTTTTTTGGTAAAATTTGTAGATTAAAGGTCATTAATCAATAAGTTTTAATACGTAGAACATTTGTCAAGTAATCATAAAAATTTGTCATGAAAAAGACATACATAATTAAAAATCTCATTGTTTTTCTATGCAAAAATATTTTGCGTTTGAAAATAGTAAATCGATTGCTTGTATAGATACCTCCTTCCTTTAATTTTTTGCTGATTTGTGGAATATTAACACCACGAAATAAAATTATAGTGAAAATATTTAATATTGTGATAAATGCTAAGATATGATTTATTGGGTGAAGTTTAATTTTATATGGAATATAAAAAAAGTTGTTACCTTGAAATGTGTATTTTAAAAATATATTTTTTTCAATCATTCTCATTTTTTATATCAAATCTATTCTAATATTTAAAACATTTTTGTTTTTGTGATGTTTTAACAAAGATTTGGAATTTCGATTGTATCTTTTGTGAAAAAATATTCACAAGGGTAATTACGTTGAAAACAACGATATTTTATCATTTGTAGCTCAAAACGAACTAAATGAATCGGAGGACATTTAAATCATATTTTTTAAGAAAAAAAAAATGTTTCATAAATAAATTGATTTGTGTGTATCTAAATTTCATTTTGCATGGATCTTGTGTACATATCTTTTGAATAAGGCCACTATTTTTTTTGCTTGAATTCATAATGTATAACTTTTTCATATGATAAATCAAGATATGGAAATCGTATATATTGTACATTTAAAGGATAAGTTTGAATGGTAATCGTGTATCCTGAAAATTTGAATGTTATATTTTCAAAAAAAAAAGTCTGTTATGTTTTGCATGGAGATGGTCGAACGGTTGTAGTTATTTATATCAAATTTTTATAGCTTATTATCATAAAACCAAAAAAAAAAAAATTATAAAAATAAAACTGAAAATATAAAATGTCCAATTCTATTGTAGTTTTAAATTTTGTGTGTAGAAAATAAAAATAAAAACTATATGCACTGTCCAGAATTAGAATGAGATTTATTTTTTAATGGGTGGTTTTAACAAATCTGCTGGACAAAAAACTATACACGCGACAAATTGATTACCATAAAAGAATAGATTATGATATCATTAAAACTGACTTGCATTTCTCAGGCCTGCCCCGCCCTGCCAACCCGTTTTGAAAGCTCTACCGAGACGGTACATATTTTGAATTCTATCAGTGTCATAAATTATATCATTATCATGCATATTTTTAAATTTAAATATCACATTTAAAAATAAAATACAAAAACATATAATATACCATATAATATTCATATATTAAAAGAAATTGGTAAGTCCATCATATTTTGTGATGGGCTACAATCACAAGAAATTTGTGGTTTTGAATAACTTGTTGTGGCAATGTGGCATGTCCCGTGTCCAACAACTTGATCCTATTATATTTTCTCCTAGAACATTTTTTTTTTCTTTTTGATTGAAATTGTAAATTTATGAGGAGACAAGGAGATAAAAAAAAATAAAAAAAAATAAAAAATTGTAAAGCTAACCCCACCTACTATTCAGTTTCAATCTGTTTCTCAGATTGGGGTAGTATGCGGATGGCCGTTTCTCCACGAGGTCGGCTTACATGGCGCTGGTGTGTGGCCTTCCGACATGATCAGGGATAGATTATGGAAGACTGTATGGCGGTGGGTGGGCCCGCAGCGGGATAGACATTTTTTTTTTGCTCGCCGCTCGAGATAGTTTATTGACAAATGCTTCACGGTATCGTAGACATATGACATCGAGCCCAGCCTGCGCGATCTGCTTGGCGGAGTGTGAGTCCACGTTGCATGCGCTGCGGGATTGTCCGGAGGCGACTCTCACGTGGAAGCGTCTGCTGCCCCGCAGTTTTTGGAGTATTGTTTCTCGTTGGATATTAGACGGTGGTTTTTAGATAATCTTACTGGCGATTTAAGCAGGGCTCCCAATGATTGGGTTTCGTTATTCCGGCTTACGACATGGAGGATATGACGGAGGCGGAATCTCAAGCTTTTCCAAGGCTCCGACGTACCCATGTCCCGGTGGCTTGGCGAGGTTTTTTCCTACATTGATATGGCACATTGCGCCTCAGCTGGGAGCCAGATAGTTGGCGCGTGTGGTGTGAGGGAGCGGCGTTGTATTTCGTGGTCGGGTCCGGCGGTAGATGGGTTGAAAATCAATACGGATGAGAGTTTTGATCCGTTGACGGGCATGGCTACCGCTGGCGGCGTTGTTCGTGATCATTATGGGAACTGGGTGCATGGGTTTGTGATAAATATTGAATTTTGCTCGATCGTTGGAGCGGAACTTTGGGGCTTGTTCCAGGGCCTGCTTCTGGCATGGGGATATCGGTGCTCGTAGGATTACAGTTGAAGTTGATAATAAGAGCATTATCGATATGGTGAAACACGAGCATCTTGGCGGGTCGCATGGAGGGTTGTTGAAAGGTATAAAGGAGCTATTAGACCGTCATTGGGAGGTGGACATTATTCATGATTATCGAGAAGCCAATTTTGTGGCC